CGCACCTTGTGCATACGTTTGCTTGTGTACAGTTGTATTAGTACTGGTATTTGTAGTACTCTACGCTGCTTCCGTTGTGCTATTCATGTACATGCACACGTCTCGTCCTGCAATACATATCTTGCCCACACACTTGTTGCGTGATTTTCAGAGAGAAGTGAGATGCAAGGTATATAAGCCACAAATTCTTATTGGTAAAGAGCGGTAATAAATGTTAACCAGCGCTGGTCACTGATGATCTGCGCTGATCAGCGCAGACGAGAGTTTGTTGACGCTGATCGACCACATGGGCATTTTGCGACGTATAATGGCAGTCAAACCCTAATTATCACTTCTGGGTATGCATTACTACGTGATTGTGTTTTTTTTTTTCAAGCTCATGCATTACTACCATTCGCCCTGTCTCCGGTCTCGCGTTTTCGCGCCAGTATACTCGAGTGCCCTTTGGTCGCAGTGTCACGCATACACGCGCGCGCGCGCAAAGCTCCATCTGACGTCGTCCAGACCGATTAGAAAGGCTACATACGGAACAACATAATATCGCAGCGTTTACAGGACATTCATGTCAAGAATAAAGCAAGTGCCGCGGGGTTTTGCCAGCAGACTGTCTGTGCCCACATGGTACTCAACAAGGGTCTGCGGGATTGGGCACTATAGCGAGTAAAACACTGGACAGTGCTTCAACGTTCGCCGCGAATGGAAACCACTGCGCGGAGCATAAGCTCTCTGAGTGTGGGAACGGAGAATTTTAACGATGAAAAGCTTGCACTCACCGCGGATAGTAAGTCTTCAAGCCCATAAGAACACTACTTCGCAAGCAATTGTCTTGGATAGTCAAATACCAGTCCAAAACAAGCGAATCCTTCGGCATCGAAGTCTTGCCAGAGGAGAGCGTGAAAAATGCATTTGGGTCCTATGCAATCAATGCGTCGCACACTCTCTTTTCGAGCCGTCCGAACAGCGCCATGTGTCTGTGTGGAACATCTGTTCCGATAATTCAGACCGACCTCCCTCCGTTTGCACTCTGTGAGGCTCCCCCACTCTTCTTGCGTGATATAATGGCGTAAGTCCAAGTAAATGGACTCAAGAACGTCATCGACAGTCACGTATTGGTTCCCGCCCGGCTTGACTTCAATCTTCCATGTAAAGAGCTCTTCGCACACAATGCGAAGAGCCATGACCGGCGGTTGAGTCGCGTATGGCCGCGGATTGTGTTTGTTAGCGTGACGGTCCCACGGTATCTTGTGCCGCTGCGATTTGCCAAGATTGACTGAGAAATCCTTTTCTCCTTCAAGTCGTGCGGCTGCACTGAGAAACGGGTGTAACGTGAGAGGCCGGAATACACCTGGCGTGTATGTACGTGGAGCGCGTGGCTCAAAGCAGCGCCAGCCCCGCGAGTCCTGAGCTGAGATATCGAACGGCAAAGCAGCAGCAGAAAGGGGCGGCATCCAAGTGTGTTGCCTTGACGGGATTGGGCTCGGGCTCGGGCTCAAGTCTGAGACCGATACGTCCGCAAAAGAGACGTGGCGCTTGCGTTGACGACTTTCATCTCTGCTTTCCTGACGGTAGCGGGTACTGTCCGGGTAATGCCATGAGGAATACATGAAAGACTCCGGGGAACACGATTGATGAAAGAAGGACGTGAAGAGGCCAACATCTCATGACTCTCTGACATTTATAGTCCACCCCTAGTAAGTGTGAGCCATCAGTAGGCTCGTCTTCCACGTGTGCGTCACCATATAAAGATCATGCGCCTTGCCTTCACTGAGAAGCGCCTGTTCATCACGCGACCCTGATTCAAACATGCGACAAACTCTTTTCCGACTATTGCCAAAACAGAGCTGGTCACTCACCCGCTTCTTTTTCCCTGCGTGCCGAAACGTGTCTCGGCGCGCTGAGATTTAGCACGCTCAGGCTCAAGCACGACCTCGGTCACGGTGCCGTAATAATGTCTCCCTTGGGAAGCTTCGGATACGTCTCCGGCGACCCGATGGTTGAGGGATGAGGAGGTATACCCGCCCTATAGCCATCTGAGACCTATTGGTGCTGCATATTTGACCATACTTGCCCATATTCGTTTACGACAGAGTTCCTTCGCGACTTCATACCATCCCTGGCTAATGGCGCAACACCTTTGACACGTGCACCCATCGTAGTAGGTACATACGTCTCCTACGCATGCGCACGCGCCTGAAACACAAGCTTCACAGCCACTGAGACATTTATCCGACTCGTCTTAAGGAAGATCTTCTCCGTCTATTATCGTAGTCCCATTATAAACGAATGCCAGTTGGAAGCGGCGGCGACGGACCGTGTTATCTTTTAAGCCCTCTTCGTTTCATTTTCTACATCTACCAATTACCTAGGAGCACCTGTTTGTTCTCCAAGACAAGTCAGGCTTTAAATTGTATGGCAACTAACTGTTTCTTGCGCCGCTCAGACTCGGCAAAGACTTGAACGGTAGTGACTGTGGGACCTGAGACAGAAATGTAGTTTTCTGTCTGGCGATACCGACCTTGATCGATTTGATATGACCAGCCACTTTGCCTGTAAGTGCAGAGCAAGTCCAACCAGTTCGTGTTCGCCACATTTTCCTGCCAATTTAAACTCCGAGAAGGTGTTTACCTCCGATGGCCAAAGATAACAAGCCCTCAAACACGCTGATCTTCTCGCTGCTATTGACGGGTGCACCGAATCTCTCCACTGCTCGCGGCGAACGGGTGTTATGTAAGATTACTCTGTATATTGTGGTAGATGATGTGAAGACGAGGGCATGGTAGTCTTCCGCAACCATTGCAACTGACTGAAGGCCTTCCTGCCGACTGTTGTGGAAGAGTGTATGCAGTTCATCAAACACTTCAAAGCCTTTCGTCGATATCGTCGACTAAATCGCAGTGGTGAGTCCCACATCCGTACTCACACGCTACATATCCAAGGTAGCTGCGCATTGCAAAGCTTTACAGGGGTAAGGCGAGCCTGGAAGAGGTTGGCATGTTGTGGTGTAGTGTCAGAGAGAAAACCAGAGGAAGATGCCTCCATTGCCATCCTGCACTACCACCGCACAAACATTGTGAAAACTGCCGTAAGATACACTTGCAATGATATAGTAAATCAATGTACCGGCTCGTCATCTGGAACTACAAACCCATCCAGTTCATACCCGTTCGTCAAGCCAATCTGTTCATTCAAGACGGGGTCCTTCCTGTTTGAAGACTTCCCCGACTCCTCCGAGCGTTCACTAGCACGAGACCCGACGCGCGTCTTTTCATTGTCACCCTCACTGTCACTCTCCCCCGTCGAAGTCTCTGTCCCGGAATGCGAAGCTTGAGTTTCGACGAGCTCGGAAACGCTCGTTTTATAGGCGTGCTTTTTGAGAAGGTGAGTTGGCTTAGGTTTGGGGCGCAGCCTTTTGTGCCGTGGACTCGCATCAGAGTCGGAGTCAGAGCTCAACCGTGCTGCTAACTGTTTAAAGGCTCTCCTCCGCTTTCGTATTGGGGCAGGCGAAGAAGGCGAAGAAATCTGTGATGCATCCGGTCCCGAGGATTCCTCGTCTATTTCATGACGCTGAGGTGAGGATGCCTTGATTCCTTGGAGCGTCGTAATGGACTCGGACTTTGTCTAAGGGTATCAAAGTCAGCGATATAGTGTCTATGAGGCTGAGCAAAAGGAATCTTCCCTCAGTGGTAGTCATCTGCAGCTTATAGATTCGTCGCGTGGGCTTGTCTGGAGGAGGCCAGTACGCTGTTTTAAGCTCTAAATGCCGGCTTATATTGCAGTGGCCCAGCAATGTACCTGAAACTGGTGCGACACCCTTACCGTCAGTTTACCATTGACTTCCAGCTGGCAAAGACGTGTTTCACATCTATCGCCGTGAGCTCTCCAGTTCACTGACACGGGCCTCTTCCCTTCCCCCAAATTTTTGCTGAGATGGAAACCGCGCTTCTCACGTGTGACTGGGGTTTCAAACGCGTCGATCCAGCCTGCAGCACTGAGGGTTCTCTGTGAAGTGCGACACCTGTTTTACATCACATGCATTGCATATGCTAAATCATCCGGATCTTCAATCCCCACCGTGGACTGCGAGTCGCTGGCCAAGGAGCTTATTGTTGTGCTCGCACTGATTTATGCGCTGATAGCACACTGAATATGTGCTGACTGTCTTGTCAGACATCGCAGTCTGAATTCAGACGTTCAAATATTACGCGCACCTCGGCAATATAATCAGCTCGCTCGGTGGGCATTAGGTTCTTCAACCGCCTAGAATTAGTATAAAGACCTTTCCCCAAGTAAATATGACTGACCGCAGGGATGCTTGTTGTTACGTTAATATGATACCAAACAGTTCCCGCCATTGAGTTACCTCGGTGCGCTTGATATGTGCCGGAGCAGTCATCTTGCGCATCGCTTGTTTTTCTTTTAGTAGAAGTTCTTGCGCACCTTGGGTCATATCGGACCTGTCTGCGGACGTGTATATAACCTTGTGCACCAGTTCACAGCGATTCTGGATCTACAGGCGCTATATTCCAGACCCCCAGTGCCTTGAATATGTCAGTTTCAGGTCCAGATAGCCATCGCTTTCTGCTTTCAGCTTTGGCTGGTGCCCCCAAACCACTGTTTACCCTCGAATGCCCGCTTGGCGCCCCCGATGAATTCAAAACTGAATTTCAGCGGGCAAAGGCTCAATGCGCGAGCTATGCGCGTCTATGTAGCGCGCGTGCACGGTCCAACATGGGACATACCGGCACTATGGAATGGTATGACCGGTTGGATGACGCCACCTTTCTTGCTCTCGGTAATCGCATTGCGGAGCAGCTTCCACGGGCATCCTTTGCAAGGGTCTGATCTTCGTTCTTTTGTCTTGTTTATAATCCATCTTAACCGTATGCTGATACTTCCACGAGCTTTAGACTTTGCACTACGACTGTCTTCGGTACTGCGATCGTATACGCGATGCAGGAGATTGGATGATGTGGATGTCTGTGGAGTACGAAGGGACGAAGATGCTTCTAGCTGTCGAGTGGCGCCTCACAAAAGCTTTGGACGCGAGGATGCGAGAAGCTTTTCTTGCTTTGCGTGAAGTCATCAAGGGGAATTTGACAGATTACTGCGACAACGCTCACATGCAGCCCTCTGGCCTTATCGGTGTATGGTCTACGGATTTTGTCCGCGAGCAAGAGTCGGCGCTTTCCTTGTCGCTTATTCTCAAGGACCAGTCTGTCAGCGAAGCGGCCATGAAGGCTTTGCGCTCGTATAGGGCTGTCGACAAAACCCTTCAATCAGTACGCCGTGCTGACGCACATGCTGTCGGCATGCTTTTGTTGGGTATTGAGAGGCAGGCCCTGGGTATGCAGCAGACCGTGCCTCATTATCCCGAAGATATGCCAGAACAACCTGCTGCCGTTCTCGCACTCATCGATCGGCTTTCGGAGAATCTACGTGTGTGATCGTCACTTTATACCTACGAGTCAATACTCACTGCGCTCTGAACAGCGTCTCGCGCATAGAGCCGCATTACTTCTTCCTCCTCCAGTTTCCACGTTGGCTTTTTGTCGCATTGCATTAAAATAGGCAGGAGGCCATGCCTTCTTGCGATATAATCTACCTTGAGATCGTGCGATGTAGCCTTACTATATCAGCGCGCATCTCAGACTTGCGACTCTTCTATACCGGGTATGGAGTAGACTATCAGAATATGCCATCTTCTTGTGTTTGCGCGCGTTCCTCCTGTGAGCCACATCAGAGAGATATTAAGCTGGAAGATAGCGCCAGTAGAACTTGAATCCAATATGAAAGACATGTTTAGCCTGACTTGTGGACGGGTTTATGACATAAGAATGACCTATTACTCTAGCGGTGAGTAGAGGTTCGTACAGCGTTACAAAAGACGTCCTACGAAATGGCACGTGTCGGGTCCGGGCGGTATCTTGCCCGGTTAAGTCAACAGAGAAACCTGAGACAATCACTACTCTCTCTCTCTCTCTCCTCTCTCTATTATCTTACTCATGCGCTCCGAGTCGGTCACCAGGTGTTCTCTCGACGTATGCGTAAGTGCTCCCCGTGGGTTGTCCTGCACCAATCCGAATGATGTGATAGGTATTGTTGCCTACTCTCGCGATGTGTGAAAGAAGCCTGGGATCTCAGGGACACAATACTATGCGGGCAGTCAGATCAGGTCCAAGATCAACACAGGGGGTACATCTAACGTTTGGGACCCTACTCCCTGTCTCGAACAGAACACACAAACCCAGCCCGTCAGGCGCATTCGACGTAGACATTTACAAAAATCATCCCGAACGCGGTCATCTGCGACTACCACACACACGCCTCACTTGGATGGCCGATGATCCGTCAAAGACATTGGGAGAGATCACATGGAGTCATCATGCTGATGTGAAGCTGAAGTGTCTCCGTTATCAGTCAACGCCGTATGTTCTGCGCAAGCTAAGCGGATCCTGAGCGGTGCAAGGTAACGTCACGTTCTGATCTTTCTAGAAGTTTGCCGCAAGTCTTCGGTCTTGCGGCGAACAATAATCTGGTTCATCTGCTCCTCTTCGCACATCCACTTGCTACGCATTCTGTAATGTGACTCGGGGCTGCCCGAGGTTGCTATCGGCTGCGCATGAGCAGCTTTGTCGCATGCGTCGTGCTAAAGCTCCGAGCCCTGACTAGTATGTCGTCGGTAGTCAGTCGTCCAGCAGAACGAAACAACCTTTGTTGTTCCTTGAATAGACATGCATCTAATACAAACATGCCACCAGGTCGTATTGTACTCTTTCCTCGTAGAAGCAGACCTCTCAGAATTTCTATTCGATTATCTCAGACTGGGCTCTAGCTCGGCTCGCACGCCACTTCCCGTGTGAAAGTAAAGCCGGGAGCGGCTATCGTTGGGCGCGTGATCATTGACGAAGACAACCCGATGAATATCGGCTCTCAAGACTTCTGCTACGAGCAAGGGGAAACAATCTTGCTACTTCATCTTGAACTTCTGGGCGCGGTTCTGTAACCGCTGCATTCGTGTGCAAGGGCACTGATTCTCCATATCTCATGAACATCTATCATGGCAGGCGGGTGCAGCGTGTTCTACCTCCAATTTACTCTGTGCGAGATGCTTGTTTAGAACCCGCTCGCAGATTTACCAGCCTTTTGTATGAGATGGTAGTGTCTGTTTTTGGAATTGTGTGGCTAGAATCTCCGCCTCGTCCAGGGCGCAGATTTGCCGACCGCGCACCGGCGAACTTGCACAAGATAGTCCAACATAAAGCCGATCCAGGCTGAACCTTATTAATACACGTGTGTCGAGAGTGGAGACAAGCGGTGATGAAGGAAAGCGCGCTTTGGAGAGTCGAATTTGTGGTTCTACCAAAGGGTACCTTGGAGTTCTGCACAAGAGCAAAGCAAAGCAATCTACGAGGTCGCGTTTATGCATCTTCGCGCCACGAAGACGTGCACGCGTTATAGCATAGGCTTCAAAGCGAAGGAGAAGAGATGGCATCACGATTCCGTTCACTGTCAATCTGCTTGCAAACGAAGGTTAGCGCGCGTGTGACATCTGTTAAACTCAGCAAGTGCGACTTTCTCCACCTCGAGACCCTCCTTGTACGTGGAAGAGGCGGATCATCTTGGCGCTCTGATCACGACGACAGACCGCTTCCACTCCCAACGCCCAGACTGTCACGTATCTGCTTTATGAACATCGTGCTGAGCGTGCACGCACCTCTTCTCCATACGCTTCACATCATGACGAGCATCAGGAGAAGCCCTTGAACGATAGAGCCGTACATGCTTCACGCCCACTTCTTTCTGCGTGTGATGTGCTAGAGACGCTGTCAATCTAGCTTAAAACCCCCTACAACATGCCCACGGACGAGACACTGATCCCATTTTTTTACTGAGGCTCCAATTAATCTGCATCGGCGTCAAAGATCCGGTTTGCACGCAAGGTTCAGAGTCGTTTCAATCTGTTATGCAATGGACGCGCGGCCCCAAAGCCTTTGTCTTCGTCGAATTGCTCCACAATGATAGGAACCTTGTTCAAAAGTCGTTCGAGAAAATGTGGTACATCTCACGCTTGCCTTGCGCAGCCAAGAGCGCCAACTGCGTGGGCATCGTTTGTGAGGAGACTGATAGCGGACTGGAATTCTACCATGTATGCTGAATTTGCCATGATTGGGTGAGCTGCATACCCATCACTTTGTCATCGTTGTATTGATATTTGTTCAAGTTGTAGCAATCTTGCGCGACTCGCATCTCTTGCTTCGAAGTGTGTACCATGTCATACTCTGTTTGGGACTGTGTTCTCTTCTTTCGCCTATTGCGCTGTTGCGATCGTTCCGAAGGATCGCTCAAGCAGACAAATCCAGAGAAGCTGTGGAATATTTTGTCGTCCGTTCCATAAGTATACATTCAGCCGACTGACTATTCTTCTTACACAGGCCGCGCTTATGAGGGACCGACAATACATCACCACGCTACTCGCTGTTGCCTTGAGCTTTCCACAAGCGACTCTGATTTGGAGCATAATGCTTCTGACAGCGCAGGCATTTACTTCCCTCCTCTATAAGTCCAACGTCGTTACCAAGTTGTCTACATCCACCATACTCGCGGTTGTTGCCTTTTCAAGTGGCCAATTACTTTATCCCACGTGGTTGGGGTCCAGGCTCGCGTTCTGGCATAATTGCCTATCCTGCTTCAAACGCCGCACGCGTAAGTCATACAGCGAGCACACAGTATGATGGGGCCGTACATTATTTATTTTCCACTGCACTTAATCACCCGATCTTGTACGGACTGTCGCCAAATGACTGCAAACATTCGTCTTTCACGTAGGCCTTATGCGTAATGCGTAGATAAATCATAACTTCAGCCAGCTCCTCGCCACTGGGCCTGCCAAGAAATACCGCTCCAACCGAGCTAAGCAGCCCGAAAGCACAGAATGATGGATACTAAGACCTCTCCTCACATCAACATTGTATAGGTCCCCACCAGGTCTGAGTCTCACAGGAGCTTGATCAAAATCGTGATCCAAATGAGTGTCATCACTCCACCCTCTTCACTCATAAAATAGAGAATTTCGGCGAAACTGATCTCTTGGTGTACTTGATTCTAACAATTATCCGTGTGAGGCGAGGCTGAGACCCTCATAGACTTCAATGCTGCACAAGGAGCATGCACTCACTTGTGCTCAGAACCTACATATTTAAGAGAGCTTGTGAGGGCGTGTTCTACCCAAGCTTGACGCATCTGGATGATATGTACCCCATAAATCAAACTCGCGGACAGCTTGAGGAGTTCATCGCGCTGCTAGCGGATCTCAACTCTGGATGCATTACTGCAGAAGGCGTCCGTCTTACCGAGCTCGAAGCCGGACTGGTACTTGTAAAAGGGCTGGAGGCCCATACATGCAGCTGGATCAATGCGATGCGGTATGTGCTTTCACGGCAGCAGAACTGCGATCTCATCCTGAGTTGTGTTTAGGGCTACAAGAGGTATCATCCCTCTTCCGTTTGAAATAATACGAGAGATATTCTACATATTTGCGGAAGAAAACGCGCCGGTAATGGGCTCATCGTCACCACAAGACATGGGATGGATTGCGCTCCTCTGCCTATGCAAGAGCTGGCATTTCCAGCTCAAACAGGATGGCCGGTTTTGGAGTCTAGTCACTACGCACAATCCGTCCACGATGCCTATCACCATGCAGCGCGCGGGACAGTGGAGTTCATGCTTTGTCTTGACGGAGAACATGCCGCGCTCCACACTCAGTGTACGGGACGCCGTCGAACTCAAAGCCTTGGAAAGCTTTGCGCCAGACAGGTATGAGCTGATAGACGTTAATAGGAAGGACTATGCCTTGAAGCATCTCACGAAGATTCTGGAAGTCGCGTCCTTTCATGGCACTTTAAAGCGCTTGACGAGTTTATCTCTTCACCATTGCGAATCGTCGCTGCGACGTACAGAGCAAGATGATGTCTCAAAGTACGCTCTCACACTGGTGTCAATGCGAAATGATCTCACCTTGGAGTAGCGCCCAATATGCCAAGTTCCAGGAGGCGTGGATCCGTGCTCCCTCTCTCGCTCGCGTAACGCTCCACGGGCTGAGCGTCCATGTTGACAGTGATCGGCTTCGTGAGCTGACAATATCGCACAACCAACTGTCGAGGAGATTCACAAACGGCGGCCTTCTTCGAATGTTGAGAATATCGGGAAAAGTACTCGAGTGTCTGAAGCTGCTTTTTTCGACTTCCGGCGTGGCACTTGAACCTCGATGGATCGTATTACCAAAGCTGAGGGTGCTGTGGCTGTGGGGCCCTGCCGAGGAGGTAGTCAACCTGTTATGTGCAATTGAGATCCCCGATCTCTGCGCCGTTGACATCCTGGTTAACTTGACTGCCAACCGCGAGCAATCGGACATGCTGGAAAGACAGCTTATGAGTCTCACGGGTAC